GCAGTGCTTTAACCCACTGCGCCACCAGGGAGGGCCTTATTGTATACCTTTAACCAGCTTTTCTGAGTTCCATTGTATTATTTTGACTTGCCTTTCTGAGTTTTCTTCCATCTTTTGAACTCTTTGTCTGATAGGGTGATATAATCTTACATTTTTTGTGTGTTTGGATTCTGGAGAGTTTTTTGCTTTTTATGTTTTCTGTTACTGTATTAAACTTTTCATTTTATTAATGGTTTCCTCATCAGATTTCAGTTAGCTATCTATGCTTTTTTCCTTGTAGTTCATTAAATTTCTTTAAGAAGATAATTTTGAATTCTTTCTCAAAGGGTTGATGGCTCTCCATTTTACAAGGACTGTTTCCTTTGGTGGCATCTTGTTTTGCCAATTCTTCATATTTGTGTAGTCTTTGCACTTGAAGGGGAAGGCAACTCTTCTAATCTTCACAAACTTTTTTTTTTAAACACAAATAAAGACCTTCTGCACACCCAGACTGATTGGACTGCCTTCAGGATCACAGTTCAGTAAGAAAGGAGCTGAACCATGTTGTTACTGCTGGATCCATGGTTATGCCTGTTCAGTGTACCTTTTTTTTTAATTTTTATTTTATAACAGTTTATTTTTACTCAGTGTACCTTTTAATGGTGTTATGGATAGGTGTGACTCTTGCTTTGGATGGACCTGGCGGCAGGACTGCAGAAAGTCAGTGCTGTAACAAACTTCAAGCCAAAAGACAAGAGACAAAGCAGGACATTATACAATAATAAAATCGGCTATTCATCAAATGTATATCAATAGTTAAATATATTCTCAACAACAGAGCACCTAAGTATATTAAGCAAATGCTAAGTTATGAAGGGAGAAATAGACAACAACACAATATTGGTATGGAAATTCAGCACCTCTAGTCTACAGCAATGAATATAGTTTCAGACTAAAAATCAAGCAGGAAACATTGGGTTTGGACTGTACTAATAGTTCAAATGACCCTAGCAGATGCACAGAACATTGCATAAACCAAAGCAGAATACACTCTTTTCAAATACACATGGACTATTCTCCAAGACAAGTCATATATTAGATCACAAAAAAGTCTTATCAATTATAAACATTTTGAAATTATTTCAAATGTCTCTTGCAACCACAATGGGTTGAAGCTGGAAATCAACATTTAAAGAAAAATACAGAAGCACAAGAGAATTAAACAACTGAAAAACAATGGGTCAAAAACTAGGAAAATAATACAAATATCACACAATAGTAAAAATGAAAACACAACATACCAAAACTGTTCTAAGAGTGAAATTCATAGCAATGAATACCTTCATTTAGAAAGATCTTAAATAAGTAGTCTAACTGTATACCTCAAGGAGCTAAAAAAAGAGAACAAACTAAGTCTTATATTAGCAAAGGAAATAATAGGGACCAGAAAAGAAATAAATAAAATAGACACTGAATCCATAGACAATATCAGCAAAACAAAGAGCTTTATTTTTGTAAATAAACACAATGGGCAAACTTTAATTAGATTAAGAAAATGAGAGAAGATGCAAATACAAATTGAAACTGGATACTACAGAAATATAAAGTATCACAGGAGACATACATTTAATGTACAAATTGAATACTCTAAAAGACTGTGTAAATTACTACATGCAACTTATCAACACTGGGCTTGGCAACAAGTATTGGATGTAATAGTTATCCTAACTATAGTGAAGTTATAGCTGCTGCTTTGCTTCCCCTACCTCTGATGAATAATGATGTTGAGCACCTTTTCCTATACCTATTGGCTATTTCTATGTTTATTTTTTTATTATTTTTTAAAGATTCATTTATTTGTGCATA